AAAAAAAGGAGAGGGGAAAAGAGATAAAAGAAAGAAAAGAAAAAATTGGATAAGATGGTACCCTCCCATATACAAAACTTTAAAAAGTAAATTTTGATGCTATTAGATGTTCAAATGGTCTTTGTTTGGAGGAATTATTATATATTGTTGGGTCGGATCGTTAAAATGTAAACACGATTAATTGAAATCACTTCTATTAATGGCGGAATGCCAGGTAACTCACAAGTAGACCTGTTCATAGGCCGGGTCGGGCCGGGCTTTGACTCTTTATTAACAGAAAAATGTTAGGCCCGAGCCTGAGCCCTGCCCGACCAACGGGCCTACAACTTGGGCCCAAGCCTGGCCCTGATAAAAAGCCCGAAGCCCGACTTAATAAAAGAAATTCGAATTTTTTCCTATTCAAATGGACATTTTCTATTTTAATTTAGATGTTTTTTCCCCTTTTTAAATGAACAATGGGCCTACAAGTGAATCAACAACATTCTCAAATCAAAAAATTTATTCAAATGGACATCTAGGGTTTTTACTTAGGTTTAACTATAGGTTGGGTCGGGTTTACTTTGGTTTAACTATAGGTCGGGCCGGGTTTACTTTGGTTTAACTATAGGTCGGGCCGGGCCGGGCTATTTTGGCAAAGCCCGAGACCGTTTCGAATTTTATGCGGGCCGGGCTTTTTGGCCCGAGGTTAAGCTCGCGGGCCAAAAAGCCTGTTCAAGCCCGTCTGGGGGTCAGGCCGGTTCGTCGGGCCACTCGGCCCATGAACAGGTTTACTCACAAGCTAGTGGTTAAAGGAATGTTTGGAGTGAAGGTGACTCAAAGCTTGTCTTATTCTCGACAGTCTGCTCGGAAAAGACACCACCCCATGTAGATGTTCTACATTTATTCAAATGTGCGAAAGGATCAACTAGGAGAAACAGTTTTACATCGGGTATTCTCATACATAGAGAGAAGGCAATCAAGCAGCTGACTAACCAGCTAATGAAGGTCATTCCAATCATCTTGAAAGGGAGGCAGACTTCCCCTTGGATTGCAGTATATTTATGTAATGGACTTGTAGGGTAGGACTGTCTTGCATTAGGGTTTTTCTTTTTGAGTGTATCAAAAAGAGAAAAAATCCAATGGATTTTTATTCAAACACAGGGCGTTTGGTATTGTTTTCGTAAGTCTTTTTATTTGATAAATGGTACTAGGTCATTGCCATGTGGGTGTTTGTCCCATCATGCTATTTCATATTCTTATTTATTATATAAATGTTTGTCTTGATTTGCGTGTTAATTAATCATTGGAGAAAATTCATTTTAACATTTTTCCCAATACAAAAGTATTTATTTATTGTTCCGCTTATATAGCACCTAGCTGTCAATAAATACCAAAAAAACATTTATCAACCACTTTTTCTCGGTTTTAAAGATAAATTAAGAAAAAATGTTTATTTTATAAATAGAAACCTTTCCAAACATATACTAAATCTCCCTTTCATTATTTTTCTTGATGGAGGTAATAGTTTAAAATTTTAAAATGGGCCATTTACTAAATCACCCTTATAGTTTCAAGGGAAATTTCCCGATTAGTACCCTGTACTTTGGGCCTAGTGTCATTTTGATTCTTGAACTTTAAAATGTGACAATTCAGTACCCGAACTTTCAAAACATGATAGTCCAGTACCTACTTTTAACTAGCTATTAATCAGCGGCAAGTGGCATTTTAAAAAGATATAAATGCCCTTCGAGTGTCATCTAATTTTCTTTATCAACCATCCAAACATTAACAAAAAAATTAACAGTCTCAAATCCTTGCCTCCTCTATTCAAGAAAGTTGAGGTCATCAGAATGCTCACTCAAACGTGACCCCAACCTTCTTGAATGGAGAAGGCAAAGATTTGGGACTATTAATTTTTTGTCAATGTTTAGATAATTGATAAAGAAAATTAAATAATACTTGAAGGGCATCTTTGCCTTTTTAATATGCCAATTAACAACTGATTAGCAGCTAGTTAACGACAAGTACTGGATTGTCATGTTTTAAAAGTTTGGGTACTGAATTGTCACATTTTAAAGTTTGGGGACCAAAGTGGCACTAGGCCTAAAATACATGGTACTAATCGAGAATTTTCCCTTTATTAAAACCGACCTATAGTTTGTGTTTTACTAAAACATCCCCTATAGTTTGTAATCAATTTACTTAATCGACCTTCCATTAGATGAAAGCGAAAAATAACAATTTTAACCTTAACATCCATTCAAATAAATATAATCTTAAGAAGCTAAAAACAATATGCCATTTTTGCCCCTAATAAAACATGAATAACCACTCTGTTTTCTCTATTTTTTTTTCAATTTTATTTTCTATACAAAAAAGTGTTAGCGGTACTTTTGGAATAAACAACCATGGATCATTGGATCCATACCCTTGGACATTTTCCACTTAGTTTAGGTGATCATGTTACTATATTAAGATGGAAAAACAAATAGTTCTTAATGAAAGGTCAATTAAGTAAATAGATTGCAAACTATAAGGGGTGTTTTAATAAAACACAAGCTATAGGCTAAATTTGTGAGACTATAGGGGTGTTCTAGTAAATGACCATTTTAAAATCCAACTTTTGCAGGAGTTTTATTGGAATGAATATTTATATTTAATGTAAATATAATTACATTAGTTATATGAAAATTTATGTTTACATAATTTATATTTATATGAAAGTATAAATGTTTACATTTTTAGGGGTAATTCGATAAATGCTCATTCGAACAACTTTTGTTGTGGGCGAAATTGGGATTTCAAATAATTTAAAGCATTACTTGATCATTTTCCGTCAGAAAAAAAAGTAATAAAAGGGAGGTCTAATGCTCATTCCAATAAATTTTGTCATGAACAAAGGTGGGATTTCAAAAAATTTAAAACATTACATCATTTTCTGTGATAAAAAATAATGGTAGTGAGATCTTTTGCTTATGTCTTTAAAAAGTGAAGGGAAGTTTCTCACCATTGCTGAAATGTCTCCTAAAAGTCTTTGATAATTGCAATAATCTTCCTTGAATTTTATGACATAGCTGTAAGTAGACTTCCTCTATTAAAATCCTCTAATAAGATGCATGAAAATGTTTGAAACCCCCATACAGTTACTATTGAGCAAAGTTTTCAAAACCGGACTGGAAAAACTGAAACCCTAAAGCCGCTTTTGGCCAAAAATCGTTGATTTGGTCAGTGAACTACTAACTTGGGCGATCAAACCATCAAACCATTGGACCCAGGAACAGTTTTGACTCTCTTTTGTGTTTTTACATTTTTTTTTTGTTTGAGTGGGTTGTCTATTTAGACATAATGGTTGGACTGTTCGACTTGGGAACCGAAGCCCATAACGGTTCCTTGTTTGGTCCGATTTTATAACTCTTGCTATTGAGGCTGATTTCTAAAGGAAAAGTTGAAAGTTGTAGTTTGGCCTTTGAGCAATTGATTTGAATGGAAAATTTGAAAATAAACCAATTTTGTAAATGAGATTGGAGAGGCTTAGGGAAGTGAATGATACGAAAAAAAATTGGAAAATAAACAATTTTGGTCAAAAGTAACTGCATGAGTATTTTTGGACATTTTCATGCTTCTTGTTAGAGGATTCTAACTAAGGGGTCTACATACGTTTGTTTTAAAAAGTTTAGAGGAGGTGATTGCAATTACCAAACTTTAGGGAGATTTCAGCAACGACAGAAAACTTCTGCCATTTATATCTTATTTTTTTAGGGTTTCCCTTCTTTATTTTCATTGACGCTTGCACAACCTTCAAATGCCTCTTTATCTTGAAGAGCAATCCGAATACTCCTACACTATACATCTCATACATGGTGGTTTTTGGTGAATTCTATGTGAACAAAGCTTGTACTTGTAGGAGATTTGGGTTATACTGTCATACTCTGTATTAGGAGTGAGAATGGGTCAGTTTGGTTCAATTCAGTGGCAAAATTTGAAACTTATCCTTTAGGGACCAGTTCTAGGTTTTTGGAACCTTAACCTATTTAATGAAAGTCTTTTTTAGGGTCATTTCTGATATTGTCGATTCCAAGGTCTACTCGTGGAACATGCTCTTTCTTTACTATCCCCTTCAAAAGAAGAAAAAATAAAACATGATTTTCAATAATAATAATAATTTATAATTTAAAACTTATATTGTATTTATTGATTAAATTGAGTAATTTAATATATAAATTATTATAATAAATTAATATAGTTCAAAATTTATCATTTTATTTTATTTATTATATACATTTAAATATTAATATAAAAACAACTAATCAAATCACTTAAATAACTTAATGATAAGCTAAGACTATAATTATTATAACCATGAACGCTTAGGTTTAAATCTTCAACATCCTTAAAGATATTCGGAGACTTATTTAAAGGCAAGTTTAATTCGAAAGTCAATTTATTGGGTTTGGTTCAAAGGGTAAACTCTGGAATCGACGACTTACGTAACAGTCGATTCCAAGAATTTATCACTAATCCTACTCTATAATATATTAGGTAGGATTAATTCAATACCGGTCCGAAGTCGGTTTCATTAAATTAAATTTCGAGTAGAACCTACCCATTTACTCACTGAATAACGAATATCTCCCCATGTCGGGAATAATCCGGATCTCCCACTCACAAACTCTTCCCACTCCGCAGATCCGAGTTGGGTAGGTGTGGGGACCAGATCCGGATTTAGCTTGTAGTGGGCTGTGGGCAGGCATTGTCAAGTTGTGTATATCATTTTTAATTGTCGAGTCCAGTACAAGGTGGAGGCGTGGAGGACTCTGAATCCGAAGCGACCTGTCGACTGTCGAGAAAGCCGCATCATGTAGGGGACCCATCTCTTTGCGCTTATCAGAAAAGGAGTGGTCCACGTGCATCCACGTGGTAACCCTTGTTAGTGAAAAGACTTGAGAATAAATGGGTTTAAGGATCCTCCGGCTCCGGAGAGTACGAATCGGTGTTCACAATATATCTCCTGGCAAGTTGGCCCAGTTTTAACTTTAAACCAGATGCGACGGCCATTAAACTACGTTTATTTGCTTCGGTTTCTCCGTCTTTCTTGGAGACAAAATGGTGACCCAACTTCCACCTATCTGTTCCTTCAAATTTACATGCATCCATTCATTCATTTAGCCATGACTGAAAAACCCTAACCACTTTCTGCTTTCCCAACTCGCATTCCCTCTTCCTCGTAGGATCTGCAATGGCAGCTCTTCGACCCTCCACTGCTCCTCAGCCTCAAGACTGCTCCGCTGTGACCTTTCTTCGACCCAGGAATTCTTTCCTGGGTCTTTCTAGAACTTCACTGGGGATTACCAGAGTAAGTTGTTCTTCACTTCCCCTTTTTACTTCCTTAATTCTCTCTAGTTTTTTTCCCTGAATTGTCTTCATTGATACCATTCCCTGCAGCAGATCTATGGTTCCCGAGAAAAGTTGGGGAAATTTGAGGAGGCCCATCTGAGATCCTTGGGTTCAAACAAGTAAGTTTATCTCTTCACCCTATTTTGCTGGAAAAGTTTCAAATTGATGGTCGTTTTGCTTTTCCTCGTCTTTAACTTTTGCCAACTTAGCTGGGATATTGTTTCTCGGTTGAGAATTCTACGGGATTTGCATGATATCTCGGATTATTATTTATGAATTTGAATTTGTGTTGTGATTTTAGAGAATGGGTCTGGAAAAAAATAGTTAGTTTCTATTTGAACTTTCGAACTATGGTTGGTCTGATTGCCTAAAATGGCAATTAATTAGTTAGCAATCTACTGAGAACCGGTATTAATTGTTTGCTCCAACATCGTTCTTTACATAATGGTTGTGACTGGGTATGCATGCAAATATCCGTGCTTATCTAATTGGCTCTCAGCACAAATCCGTTTAATCCATAATTGTCTGAGTTTCTAATGTTATTGTTTGATGATCTATTATAGGAAATCTGTACTTTTAGAATTACAGATTCAATGCAACCTTCGGCACTGACCCAAAAAGATAAGAATGTATTCGTTCTTGTTTGAATCACTTGTGCTCTGTTATTCTATTCCTTGGATTCGTTAAGTATAATCTATTAATCATTATAATTTGTGCTATTTCCATCTTTTGGCTTCTTCATTTGCAGGAGTGATCCAACTTTGAGAGTAGAGGCTTCCAGGGATTCTGCGGGATTGGCCCAAGAAATTACAAACAACAACAAACTAGGTGTAAATAAAATTGAGCAGGGGTTAGATCTGTTTGGGGAGATGAAAAATAGGTTTTTGAGTTTTAAAAGGCACAAATACCTGTAAGTAACGGTAGTCTCCAAACTAAAGTATTATAGCCTGAAGTTGGCCAATGTTTAAACTAACTTAGCCTGCATTTCAAACAGGGAGAACTCAGAACATTTTGAGAAGCTTTCAAAAGCTCAAGCACCAAAGGTGATACAACAAACTAGGCTTATATTTTGGTCTTTGTTCTTTTATCCAGTTTAAAATCTGGCTTCAACATTGTTGGATTGCCTCTTTTTCCCATTTCATGTTATTATTTTCTAAGCCAATTTAGAATGGGATGCTCAGCTTCTGCATTTTTTATCAATAAACTTGGGTCTCGTTCAATAACTAACTAGTTGAAAAACAGTTCATGGTGATTGCCTGTGCAGACTCTAGGGTATGCCCTTCTACCATCCTGGGATTTCAACCTGGAGATGCCTTTATGATACGGAATGTGGCAAATCTGGTACCTCCTGTTGAGGTATTATGGTGTCTTTCTTCTGCCTTTGTTATTCTAATGGTGAAAACCTTGATGCTATAAACTGGGAAGATATGGATGAAATAACCTTGTCCATTTTACTGATAAAAAAAACCTTGTTCATTTTGTAAATCTTAAATTTGAATCTTTCTTTTGCAGAGACCCTCAGAAACTAATGCTGCCCTTGAATTTGCCGTAAATACTCTTGAAGTAAGTTTCCTTGTGGCTTTGTGTATATTATATATGTATATAGTTACTCTACTTGACGATCAGTTATGGACAAAATTATGCTTCTTGAGGTTCTGAGTTGTTGGTTTTCTTCCTATATATTTATCAGCACCTCTTCAGTCTGTGGTTTTTGAAAAATTGTAGGTAGTGGGTACATGCTATTCACAAACACTACAAGATTAAGTGTGCATCTTTTTCTTTCTTTTTTTTTTTGTCACCAGATGATTAAAAATTAGTGTTTCCTACAGGTCGAAAATATATTTGTCATTGGCCACAGCTGTTGTGGAGGTATTCAAGCCCTTATGAGTATGCCAGATGAAATAGACAGAAGGTAAAGCCAGATAATTCCCTTTTTGTTAACATGAATGGCATGTCTTATCGTTTTTCCTTTGTGGAGCAGTGGAATTTATTATTGTTTCTTACACCAATTTATCTGTTTATTTCAGTAGCTTTATTAGAAACTGGGTTGTGGTTGGGAAGAAGGCGAGGTTAAGCACAAAAGCTGTTGCTGCCAACCTCAGCTTTGATCAGCAATGCAGACACTGTGAGAAGGTGTTCTTTTCTTTCTTGCCTCCTATCACATATTTTGATCACCAATCAGTTACCTTGTTTTTGCTAATACTTTATTGCAGATTTGTATCCAAATCAATTTGAAACTTAGGCTCAGTTTGGAAAGAGTACAAATACAAATATGTACAGTACAAATACATACAAAATACAGGGTTTTGCACTCTACATATTTGTATTTGTAGTCCTTCCTTTGGGAAGAGTACAAATACAAACATGTACAGTGGAAAACTTTGTATATCGTATTTCTAAACCTTGTATTTGTACTGTACATATTTATATTTGCACGTTTCCCAAACTGAGCTTTATTGAATTTTTGATTGGTGGATTGAAATGGCCATCATCATCATCATCACCCAAGCCCTTATCCCAACTATATGGGGTTGGCTACATAACCCTGTTCTTCCGTTCCATTCTGTTTAATGCCATATCTTGTTACTATTTCCACCCGTGTCGTTTTTGGTCTACCCCTAGCCCTTCTAGCCCCTTCAACTTGCAATGAAAAAAATGCATGAACAAATACACTATAATTGGTCACAAGTGTAAAAAACAATGGTAGAATTGTAAAGACAATGAAAAAAATGCTTGTGCATACACTATAATTGGTAATGAGTGTAATATGTGAATACATTAAGTTAATCGTCTTTATTGTTGGTAATAAGTGTAATATGTGAATGCATTAAGTTAATCGTCTTTGTTGTCTGCTGCTCGGATGAGTTAATTTCTGCATGTTACAGGAATCAATCAACCAATCAATACTGAACTTGCTAACTTACCCCTGGATTGAAGAAAGAGTGGGTAAAGGAGTACTCTCTATTCATGGTGGTTACTATGACTTCACCAAGTGTACATTTGAGAAATGGACACTCGATTACAAAAGAAGTAATGTAGATAAGGAAGGTAGAAGAGTCTCCATCAAAGACCAAGCATTTTGGTGCTGATAAAACATTTTCATCCATAGCTTCAACAACATCTACTTGGTTTCATTATCCAGAATTAGGTACAATACAATGGTTGCGACCCAGTGCTACCCTGTTGAATTAAGATTTGCATTTGGAATTGTAAGACAAAACCTAAAGTTAAATTAAGGGACTTATCTTGTAAATTTTCTTACCTAGTGCTTGTACTTCTTTTACTTTGTATTTGTGTGGTCTGTGGAGTGGTGTAATAAAAGCATCTATCTGTCTCATTAGTTTGAACAACTTTCTACAAAGTTACTGACTTTGGAATGTGCATCAAGGGAACAAATAAACCCAAGCACCTACTGGGATTTAAAAGGAAACTCAATACTTGATGGAAACTCTTGCATGTAGACAATTTAAACGTCATAACATCCGGAGCCCCTAGTTGCGTGCATTTACATTGGGCTGTTTGCACAATGCACTATCCCACCAATCCACCATATTGAATTTAAGCCTAGCCTCCCAGTATATAGAATTAGCTCGGTTTGGTCTGTTGTAGTGAAGTAATTCATCAGGGCGGTGTTTGATTTGGTACTCTGATGTTGCATTCTCATTTAAGCTTCCGAAGATGCCACATTTGTGTTGCCTGAACTGATTCTTCATTCACAATTAAACAAAAAATCCTTTTAACATCACCATTTGAGGCAAAAAGAAGAAATCACTTATTTTTGGATAGCTAAAAAGAAGAAACCACTGTGCCTTAGATTTTTTGCACGGGGGTGATGGAGAATCATCAAATCTCTTCGGGAGATGATACAGGATGCAGCGTTGGATGAAGCTAATGTGGCACCTGAAACGCCCAGTTAGTAGGTAGCAGGTAACCCTACCAAGCATGTGTTTCTGCATTAAACGTTACGGCAACATCTAAAGCATTGGGTTCACGCTTCAGGTTGAAAATTGAAATACATCGGTACCAAACACTATGTACCTTACATGCTCAACGAGGGGCTACTACTTCAACTTAAGTTTTGTTTGGTACCGTTGGTGTTTCAAACCCTAGCATTTTGGTCAAAGATACCATTTCATCTTGAAACATGCATACCATCATTTATACTTGAGATTTGTTTTGTGGGTAGGGGTGCAACTTGGGTGGGCCCAACCCGAGCCTGGACTGATTAAGTCTGCAATTTTACACTTTCGTTTCTCTTTTCTTTTTTTTTTTTTCAAGTTGGATCCAGGCTTAGGCCTTAAAAGAAAGCCTAAACTTTGAGGTTATAGGGTTAGAAATCATACCAATTTGCAATAATACCCTGTAGGGGGTATCATGATCCAATAGGTTGAAATAGCAAAGCCCAAACCTGACTTGGGTTGATGAATCAAAACCCTAATCTGACCCATTAGCATCCCTATACAAAAATGAAAGAATACTTCTTTTCTTGGAAAGTCTTGAACTAAGACATTGAATAACTGTAGATGAATTATAGAATGTTCAACTGCTTATTAAAACGTTGAACCTTTAATGGTTTCCTTTGAGAATATTTTCATTAGTATTGCAACAACAAGAGTTGAATTGAGCTGTCAAAGCATGGTATCAGACATATGAACAAGGTTTTTCAAGATTGTATCTCTAACAAATCTGTTCTTAATACTGGACCCTAACCATGACACACCACATAAGCATCATAGAGGCCCCAAATGTTCGAATTAGGAGACCAACCCAAAGGCCCACTCCCAATACATTGAAAATAACGTGGGTTTGCAGCCCTAAATTGGAGTTCACGTCTGCGTTCCACAATGCCCCACACCACATCCCCCCACCTTGTATTGTGAACATCTTCCGATAACAAGAATGGGAGATGATGAGACATCATCGGGAGATGTTCCCAATACAAGGTGGGGATGTGGTGTGGGGTGCAGATGTCAACTCCCTAAATTGGTGAAATGTATACAAATCAAGCTTGAATTTACATTGCTTGTCACTTTGCTAAAACCATGGCCTTAATTAAATTGATCCAGTTTCGTTCTTTTACACTGTACAATAAAGATGACCCGTGCTTTTTTTTTTTGTTTTCTTAGAGACTGTAGGTTCATAAATATTACATTTTTCCTCGAAGAATTTTTTGAGCTATTTTTTGGTAAGTGTTATTTTTCTCTCATGTTGATAAATTAGTTTATGATGGAGGGAGAAAGTTGGCCAAATTGTGTGAGACTAAATTGCCTAGAGGTGTAAAGTGAGCTGTGCCATGCTGACATGATATGATTTTGTGGGCTTCTCGTGCTTTAGTGGGCCATGCTTGCTTGGCCCAAAACCCTTCAACGGTCCAGCCCGGCCCGTGGCACGAGCCCAGGCAGGCTTACGCCAGGCTGCGGGCTGGACTATGATAGGCATTTTTTAAAAAAGTTGAAAAAATGAAAATTTTAAAATAAAATAACAAAATAGACAAAAAATTGAAAGAATCTTAAAATTTTATTTTACATGAACTTCGATGTATACAATTTTTTATATATGAAATAATAAAATGAAATTAAAATAGTTACAATACAATTATAATAAAATAATAAAATTGATATAATTGATATATATATATATATATATAGACACACACACACAGAGCCATCAAGCCATGCCATGTCAGGCTGCAGGCCCATGCCAACACGGCCCACTTGTTCATGCCATGGCAGGCATGGCAGTGGCACAACCCATTTTACAGCTCTAAAATTACCTCTGTCAATACACAAAATTTAAGGCTATGTTTGGTTTTAAGGAAAAAGTAGGGGAAGGTAGGGAAACCTTTACAAATCTTGTATAGGTTTCTCTACCTTTTCATTCCTTTCCCTACATTTTCCTTCAAACCAAACATAGCCTAAAGCTCTAAATTTTCTGACCAAAGAAGACGGGTCATTTACCCGGATAAATATATTTCAGACTAAACAGGGATCTAATTCGTAAGTCACTAAAAGTTGCCCTACTTCCCTAGTATGTTGGGCTGGATGCTGTCAATTCAGACATCACTGGCCGACCCATGTGAAAGTTGGGCCTGTAAGTTAAGACCAAGCCCAGGTTAGGAGCTAATTCTCATCTCTCATTGGAAGCCTGGATCTAAAAGCAGGCCAGGTCAAAGCCCATGGGCCTTAGCTGGTCTGGCTCATCTGCGATCATTCTAAAATGGTTCGAACACGAGGGATGTATTTGGCCGAAAAAATTTGCCACGTGGAAGACTGCCAGAATTTGGACTTCAGTGAGTAAACCAACTAGCAGACTTTCGCTTTCCAAGGAACCAAACACAGCCCAATGTAAAATCATAAAATGAACTCAGGAGTGCGAAGATGATCAGACCGGGATCTGAGATCAGTTTGCCATTGCATACCGGGATTTAGCCATGATTTCGCAGTTCTTTGTGCTATCACAGAGGGGCGATAACATCGTTTTCCGTGATTGTAAGTTCTCCTTCTCCTTCTCAACGAGCTTTACATTTGTTGATCCCCGTCGTCGGCGAATTTTGGGGGTTTAAGCCTCTTGCTTCTCGCATTCAATTTCGGATTCTTTTGTCATTTCTTCTCTGCAAATCTCTTCTTTCTTTCTTTTACTTTGGTCGTTGCCTTCCGTGCAAAATGAATTACCTTGTAAAATAATTCCTGAAACAATTAATTATACAATTAGAACTTGCGCGCCTAGGCCCTTGGATGAATACTAATTCTTCATGGAACAACAATCGAAACACATTGCGATTCAATCATTCGAAATCATTTTTTTTCCCGTAATAAACAAATTGTTGAGTCTAATGCTCCGAGTCGCCTCAATTCAAGTAAATTCTATATTTTGTTGATATGGCCAGCATTAACTTTAAATAAGTGCTATATTGACATGTAAATTCCTCCCAAAAGAGATGCATCTCCTTTTCCACGGGGACTCCGAATTAAGGAGATGATTGTCTCAACAGATTATAACCATTTTGTTCTAATATCCGAATCTTACCCCTTCCAATGCAAAATTCATGCACTTGTACAAAATCAGATTTCCTCTAATAATATTGCAGTAGGTGAACTCATGAGTTTAATAACCCAATAGCTTTGTTACTATGTAGCTAAAGCTTTTAGTAATATTCCTATGAGGTCAACAAGATTTATCTTAGTCCAATTGTGTTCGACTTACCTGTGTAACAAAACATTTTTTGTGCTCATATGACACGAGTACATCTTGAAGAACTCTTCTTTTTTCCCCCAGAATTATTTTTAATTAATTGAACGTTCTAAGAAAGTAAAAGTTATATCATTTACTTTAAGGGTGTTCTTTGAATACAGAATCCTAACAAAAAGAACATTATTACAACTTTATGAAAAATTGTGGGCACTCCTCATGGTGGAAAATATGTAATAATTTGCATAATGTGTCAGTGGTCATGCATCTCCAATTGTTGGTTATTGATAGATCTTCAACTGGATTTGGACTGTTTAGGATTTGGGAAAGGCGGGAAGCACTTTCATTCATTATCAGAGATTAGCTGTTGGTCCTCATCATCATCTTATCCTTATTGTACAGAAACTGAATAGGATTAAGCTGCCACATTCCATGGTTCCACCCCCAAAGATATATATAAAAAGTACTGAGTTTCATAAAGCTACTCCAGTAGATGCCTATTGGAAATTCCTATAGGGAGTTTTCCCTTCTCCATCTTCCTCATTTGGTTTGGTATTATAGGTAACTCATTGCAGGGAGCTACTAGGCTTTAGCTTTTTGTTCCTTTGGGCTTTGGTTCAGTGTTGTTGGAGGAATATGCTCAGGTCATTGTTGGAGGGATGGGAGGATCATGTGGTGGTGGTTTTGGAGGTTGAGATAATTATAAAGAGGTAAATCTTTGCCTTTTTGGTCAATCCAAGAAAAGAAAATTTTGATACTATTGAATTCATCAAATCAATTGTGTAAATTCTAATTGCAAATTTACAATAACTATTTATAGATTCAGCATAAGGGATTAGATCTTCCCCTACAGACATCAATTTCAATCTGAAAATTGACTAGAAACAACTCCTAACTGCATTAGCATTTAGCGATTCAGCACTAAGGTAAACCCATCCTTTTTTTTTGGTAAATGAGAGTATCAATATCAGAAATACAAGCAGCCTAGGAAGAGGCACGAGATGTTACCTCCCCCAAGGACTGAATCATAAACACTAAACATGCCCAAACCTTAGATACAAATTACAAAGTAGCCCAAAACAGATCACCCCTTGACACCCCTTGCTTGGCCAGAGAACCAACCATTACATTTCCTGATCTGCTAACCCACTGGAACCCAACAGTCGTGTTTCTTGTCATCCATTTAACTTTCTTTAACAGATCCCTGTAGCCCCAACAAACTGTGTCTGGGCTATTCAGCCAGCCCACTACTACCTTGGAATCTCCTTCTACTAACAAATTGTTCACTCCTAATTGACTAGCCATTTGTATACCTTGTACCGCTGCTAGTAGCTCTGCCCTTACAGAATCACCTTCACCCACTGGTCCTGAGAAAAGAGACAACATATTGCTGTCTTTATCTCTTAGAATCCCTCCAATTCCGGATGGCCCTGGGTTACCATGGCAGCTGCCATCAAAGTTCAATTTTACCACTCCATCCGGTGGGGGTTTCCATTCAACTTGTAATTTGTTCTTAGTGGAGACTGTAGAAGCCACTGCTTCCCAATTTCTCCTTAAAGTCATCAAAGGAGAAATCTGCCAACAATTGTGAAGATTTCAGCCATGAAATTGTTTTTGCCAATATACATTCCTTGACTTCAGCAAGACTCCTTTGATACTTAAATAATGCCTTGGACTCTTAAAATAATTCCAAATACCATCATTAATCCTATTAAAACTAATAAGCAATAAAAAGATAACTTAAAATCCTATCATAGATTTACACCTTAATCCCTATTGCTATAACAGCCACAACTTTCCCAAAACACATTTTCACAAAATCTTGGTCTTTGTGGATGAGTAATTGAGAAGCCTATTTAATGACTCTAAAATCAAGTCAAGTAGATAAGTTTTAACCCCAACAAGTTTGCACCTTTACATTCTAAAAAATTCCTAATAAGTCAGTTTGGATTAATTTGATTCATTATGATTATTGTACATATTGCTACAGTACCAATAAATTATGAACTTAACTCTTAAGAAACTTAAAGTAACCAAAAATAGAGAAATAAAAAGAATTATGAAGATGCCATGTCTAGAGGAGTTTAGAGAAACTTGATTTCTTCTTAGATACTTTATTTCCCCTTTGTCTGTTGCAAAAGGATGAGGGAGATATGGTAGGAACAAATTCCCTTGCATGTATGTAGCTGCTACCATCAGTAATTGGACTTTTCTTTTCCTTAAAAATCCTCTGGTTCCTTTATCTCAAAATGCATGAACAGGTTTGCACATGGAGCCATTGGCCAAAGAAGCCCTCTATTTTTAAGGTAATTCTTTGTAAGGACCATATCAAAAAATAGTGAAAAAAAACAGGAAAGCTTCAACCTTATGAGGGATATATGTACCCCACACAGATGCCCTAGCAACTGTGTGATATAATCAACTGACTCAGATGCCCTAGCAAGAGCCATATAAAAAGAATGGAACAAGAACAGATTGAGGGGCTCAATGATTTCCTTAGTCAATAATAGTCTTCTAAAGATATTATAGGACAAATATTTTCACCACTTGTTCGTATTTTAATATGTCTTGCATATAAAAATATGTGAGATTAAAAGGCAAAAATTTTCTTTATTTATTTTTGTTGCCACTCTAGCTCATAAGTTTCTCTACCGTAGGCAAAGTCTCAAAGTACTTTTCCTTTCAATTTTTTTTTTTTTTGATAATTATGTACTTTTCGTTTCAATTTGTTAACATTTTCTCTGCTAGTTTGTTTTTTGATCAGCAAAACAATTGATTCCATTAACTTAGATTAAAGATATTACAAATTAGTGCTGGTATAAATGAACTCAACCCCCCTTTACAAATTGATAAAAGCTCAATTACAAATCTGCCCAAAAAAGTTGTTTCCTGTACACCCCTTGCTTAGCCAAATAGTCAGCCATTTCCTCTTCTAAGTTGTTAGGTAACTCCTTTTATTTTTGTTTTCTTTCTTCATGTTTTAGATATAAATATAGTAATCTACTTAGAACTCGATGTCCAGTAGTTTTGGAATTGACCATTAAAAAGATATGCATAACATATATGCCTACATGATGCAGACCGTGGCGAAGTATCAAAAGGAAGTGCAGAGATATTTTTTCGTAAAGTAAAGTTCTGGAAGGAGGATGGAGAGGAGGAAGCACCACCTGTCTTTGTAGGTATTTTTGTTTTGATTGGTAACTGAAAATAAAATTTTGTTAAAGCTTTAAAGAAAGGAAGAAGGGATATAGAAGCAATATTAGACATTGTTATATATATATATATATGGTCGGCTAGGAGAGTCTTTTTGACTTCTCTCTTCTTCTTCTTCTCTCTTTCTCTTTTCTATATCTCTGAACCTGGTTCGACTGAGCTATCAAAACATGGTATTAGAGAAATAAACAGGAGAGAAGAAGACTACAACTTCAAGTTCTTGGTGCTACGACCAGTCCTTCTCCCCTTCTTTCTTTTTATTTTTTCTGGGCTGCGCAACCTGGATTAAGGATAAGAGAAGGCTGCGGCAATCTATAGAGGGCTGTGGTAACTTATTCTGGTGCCCCTAGGGTTATTGTGGTCTGGATTACAGGTGAGAGAGGAGTGCGGCAGTCCTAGTAGGTGGTTTCTGGACTGCTATCACCATGCGTGACAGCCTTAGTGGTTGTGTTTGTGGTGGCTTGAACCCTCTACTGAGTAGTTTCAAGAGGGACTTTTTTGTCAGATGGTGGTTGTGGTGTTATTAGAAGTGATTTTTTTTTTTTTTTATGCTAACAGAGGTGGCTGAATGTGTGTTTAGGTAGTACCGTGGTGGTTGGATGAGGAGGTGCTGCAAGGTAGTGAGTGAACTGGTGTAGCATTCAAAGAACAACAGTAGGTGTGTTTGGGCTGATACCTTTTTTTTGGGAAGGGCATAACCAGTTTCATGAATTGAAATCTTGATGGCGTCAATGGGAGATGTTAGTGGTGACCAGAAATCGAGTGTGATGATTTCCTTAGATTTTTTAAATGTGCAGATGACATCCATTAAACTCAACGGTGAAAACTATGTGCCATGGGCTAAGTCGGTGGAAGTGTTTCTTAAGGCTAAGAAGAAAGTAAAACATGCGAGGGAGGAGAAACCTACAATTGAATCTTTGAGTTTTAGTGATTGAGAGCAAGAAGATGCTCAAATCATGACGTGGTTGTGGAACAATATGGAACCCAAAATCAATGCTAACTTTATGTTCTTAGATACAACAGAGGAGATATGGGAGCATGCTAAGAAGCTCTATTCCGGCCAAGACAATACTACGAGAGTTTATTAGCCTTATCAGGAGTATTTTAGTTTGCAGCAGGGAAATCGGACCCTTGAAGATTATTATGCCAGTATGAGAAATTTTCGGAATGAACTTAATGTCTATCATCCTTTAACTCTAGATGTCAAAACTCAGCAATAACAAAGGGAGCAACTTGATGTTACCCGGTTCTTAATGGGGTTGAAATTAGAATATGAACCCTTCCCACTCTAGAGGAAGTGTTTACCCGTCTCTGTAGGATCTCTCTTGGACCCATAGAGGGCATCATGGCTTCTGATAGATTAGCATTTATTGGAGCACAAGGAAGAACTTATTGGAAATAGAGGAGGAGGTTGTGCAGTTCGATGGGGTTGTGGCAACCCCATGTTAGGTCATAGTCATGGTATTGGTGGAGGTCGTGATTCAGGGGGAGGCCGTGGTAGAGGAAGAGGAAGCACTACTAGGAAATGTACACATTGTGGAAAGGACAGACACCCAATTAATTTCTATTATGATCTACATGGGCCACCCTCCACATGGGCTAATCATGCCATTGTTGGTGGTAGTGAAGTCAGTGGTAATCAGTTGGTTGATCCAACACTTTCAACATCTACTTCTGGGAAGAAGATGATGAGTGTCCCAAGAGATGAGTATGAGAGGTTCCTTCAGGCTACTTCATAGCAAAATACTGCCTCCAATCACCATTGCCCATTTAGGTATGGCTTGCCTGACATCGAAACCTTCCCCCTGGATAATTGACTCTAGAGCCTCTAATCACATGATTGGGACTTCATGTGCATTTTCCTCTCTTTCTCAGACCTCCACATCACATAATGTTACCCTAGCCCCAATGGTTCTACTTCCCCCATTTGTGGTGTTGGTAATGTTGACCCTACATCTCTTTCCTTGTCTTCTGTTTTATATGTACCCAAGTTGAAATTCAATCTTATGTCTGTTAGTAAACTAACCAAGTTTCTCAATTGTTCTATCACTTTTTACCCTTCCTCTTGTGTTTTTCAGGATCTCAAGACGGGGAAGAAGATTGGTGGAGGGCATGAAGCTGGTGGATTGTATTATCTTGACGGTGGTAGATCTACGGTTGCACTTCATACTTCTTTGACTCCTCTCCAGTGACATTGCAGACTTGGTCATCCATCTCTTAAAGTTATCAAGCTACTTGTTCCGCCATTGAGTTGTTTGTCTTCTTTGTAGTGTGAGTCGTGTCAGTATGGGAAACACCATCGGATTTCCTTTAGTCCTGAGTTGATAGTCGTATGCTAAGTCCTTTTGCTTTAGTCCATTCAGATGTTTGGGGTCCAATCAAAATTGAGTCTTATAATGGTTACAAATATTTTGTAATTTTTGTTGATGATTGTTCAAGAATGACATGGATTTATTTAATGAAAGAAAGAAGTGAATTATTCTCCATTTTCCAAAAATTTCATGTTGAGATACGTACACAATTTGGTGTTCCAATTAAAATTCTTCGTTCAGACAATGGTAGAGTATTTCTTCACTTCAGTTTAGCAATATTTGGAGCAACATGGCATTATTCATCAGACCTCCTGTGCCATTCTTCTCAGGTCCTGATATGTCTTTCTCTCTCTCCCGTAGATGTCCCTCTTCCTCTACCTCTTCCAGTTGATGATCCCATTCCTATTGTTCCTACTGTGACCAAGTCTCCACCTCCTCCAGTCCAGAATCATATTGAACGACCACCAATCCGCCAAGTGTATACTCACCAACAAAGACCAAGTGTACATGGAGCAACCACTAGGGTTTGTTTCTCAAGGGGAGGATGGTAAGGTGTGTAAGCTCGAGAAGGCAATTTATGGGCTCAAACAGTCTCCTATGCTTGGTTTGGAAAATTTAGTAAGTAGTGAAAGAGTGCGGAATGAGGCAATGCCAAGTTGACCACTCAGTGTTCAACTATGATTCTGAAGCCGAGAAGATCTTGCTAGTGGTTTACATGGATGACATAATCATAACTGGCAGTGATAGACTTGGGATTGATAGATTGAAGGTCTTTCTATAAGATCACTTTCAGACAAAGGATCTTGGGAAGTTGAAGTATTTTTTGGGTATAGAAGTTGCTAGATTGAAGTAAGGTATAAATTTGTGGTAGAGGAAATATGTTTTTGACCTATTGGAAGAAACAAGACTATTAGGTGCTAAACCGGTTAAAACTCCCATGGAACTGAATGTGAAGTTGGGCAGTGATATAGGTGAATTATTTGATGATCCCGAAGGTATAGAAGGTGTTTCAACTTTAATAAAGTAAGAAAATGTGAAGAAAAAGATAGAAGAAAGAAAGAGAAGAAGATAGGAAGAGAAAGGGAAGGGAAGAGAAGAAAAGAGGGAAGACTAGAAAGGAGAAATCTGTTCACTTTTCCTTACTGTCGACCTAGGTTGTATTAACATTCTATTAAGGCTGAAATGACTACAATACCCTTAGGAAAATTACAACATATATAAGAGAGAAAGAATAACATGAAAAAGACAATACTACCCCTGTTAACTACTTCTAACAATTCTGACACTCCCCCTCAAGCTAGAGCATATATATCATAAAGTTCCAGCTTGTTACAAATATAGTCCATCATTGAGCAACCCACACTTTTAGTAAAAATATTAGCTACTTAGTCTTCAGATTTAACATAGGGAGTAACAATCTCTCCACTTGTCACCTTTTCTCTTGTAATCATTCATGGAGAGTGGGGGAGAGAGAGAGAGAGAGAGAGAGAGAGAAAGAGAAGAAAAGGGAGATACGATTGAGAGGGAAAAAGATCCTGCTGGCTGTCGTCAGTTTTCTATTTATATTAACTCAATAAAAAGAATAGAAATTACAAGTATGCCCCTGGCGGCACACCCTAGAACCAAACTAATAAGAAAAAAAAAGGACAAGTAACTAACTGACAGTATCTTAAGGAGTCGGCCTACTAACAGCAACTATAAAGTAACAATTAAATAAGCCTTACAACACTCCTCCTCAAGTTGGGTTGAATATGTCTATCATGCCCAGCTTGTCACATAACTCATTGTGCCGC